TAATTATCAGAAAACTTGTGAGTTTAAATTGAAAATATTTTTATATTATAAAAAATTTTTCTTTAATTTTAATTAAAATTTTTTAATATTTTAATTTAATTTAATTATTTATTTAAATAATATATTAATACAATAAATAACTTTTTTATTATTTTTCATAATGAATATTATTTAACATAACAATATTACTATTTTAATATTAAATTTTTAAGAAATTAATTATTTCCTAATATTTCAATTTTAGAATATATTATTTATAGTATTTTAATGACACATGTTTTATATTACTATATTTTAATATATAAAAAAATATTTTTTTTATGATTTAATACTAGATATTTTCAATATAAAATAAAAAGTATAAATATCTTTAATATTTAATATATATGCTACTACTTTTAATAATTTATATTTAATAAAAATAATATTTTAATAATAAATATTTTCAATATATTAGTGATAAATAATTTTTAAAATTTTAATAATAAATATTTTAATAATTATATTAATACTATTGAAAAAAGAACATACTTTTCACAAAACAATCAAATAACAATATATATATATATATATATATATATATATGAAATAAGTAAGCATATTAATTATTGAGAAATAACCGGAAGACATAATGTTTTAGAGAAAAAAAAATTAGCCTTTCACATTTGTCCTTCATGATGTGGCAATAATTGTTGGTTAAGTGTAATATCTTATTTATTAGTCTGTTGACTTATCTATGAATTCATAGATTCTACTTTTATATTTATTCAATAATTATATCTCTAGAGTTTAAATATTTGAGATAAAATTAATAGATTAAATAACATGAGAAGAATTCATATGAAATTTTTTAAGTGAAATATATAAAATTTTTATTAAAAAAATTTAATAAAAATTTTTAAAAAAATTTAAATTAATAGATTGGTAAATTTCAATGAAAAAATTAATAATATATAAAAAAATTATTGAAAATACATTTTATAATTGAATTTTGGTCGGTTTTTATTCAATGAAAATTTTATGTCAAAATTTTTACTCAAATTGTTTATTTAAAAAATATATCAAAATTTTTTCAATTTTTTTCAAATTTTATACAATTGATTTATGTAATAAAACATTTTAATCTATTGTTTTTTATTTTCAATTTTAATTTTTTAATCAATTTTAATAAAAATTTTTACGAATTTATCTAAAAAATTTCATTTAAATATTTCCCAAATCTTAGCTTTTTAGATGAGATGGTGATATAAGAGGATGATGAATTAGATTTCTTCAAATTCTTCTCAAACAATGATTTCAAAATAATTGAATGAAAAATTAAAACAAATATTAAAATATGATCTAAATGGCAACAATTGATATATCTAGAAGTATATATAATCAACAATGAAAATAAAGAGATAAGGATAGAGAAATCAAACACAAAGATTTATAAAGGTTTGATCCTTTTTTCACAAGACACTTACGTTCTCTCTTTTTGGTTATCCATATCAAGGCTTTAATCCACTATTCTTGAATTAAAATTACAACTCTATCCCTTTCTTAAGGCTTAGATAGCAATCTTTCAATCTCATAAATTCAAGAGAATACCTAACCTCTTAATTACAAAATCACTTAATAGAAATGCAAACTTAAAACACCTCTCAAAGGTTAAGTGTTTGTCAAGTTTAAGTACAAAGCAATGATGAATGAACATCAATTATGATTTGGATATAATAAATACAAAAGATATGTATTTTTAAGCTCTAACAACTCTTGGTTCTTTGAGAGAATGAAAATATAGTTTGTTGGTTATTGCAATCTTGATATATCAACCTTCTTGGTGTCTTAGAGTATCTAATTTATAAAGGAATTAAAAAACTAGTCATTGGGGATAGTTTGGAAGAAGAAATGCCCGTTGGAAGCTTGAAAATCTAGCCATTATGAACATCTCTGGGCAGACCCGATTAATGAGGTAAAAGACCTGATTGATGAGGTAATGGACCCAATCGAATCCCTACCCAAGTGATCAATCCTCTATGTAGGGGGATCGATCCCTTCTGCATGTTTTAAACCCACAAAACCTTTTGTATAAAAAATAGATCAATCTTTTCAAAGGAGGATTGATCGGGTCACTTTGAAACCCTAACTAATCGATCCCTACAGGGAGGGGATCAAGCTGGATGGTTGTCTCCTATTTTATTCTCTACGTATTAATTTGATCATATCTTAAGTTATACAATTCCAAATCAAAAACCATTTGAAAATTTAGAAACTAGATTTAAAGGGCTTTATAACCATATAAAATTTATCACCTAATTCATTGTATACGAATTATAGTGAATTTTCATATCTGCCCCTTGTGTAGTTTTTAGACAACTGCAAAGTGTCTAGTAAAAATTTAAAATATTTTCTTAGAAAATTTAGATTTTGATTTATTTGATCCATTAGAAAGTAGACTCAAAGAGCTTTTCAATCATATAAAATTTAAATATTAAAATTTTGTGAATTAATACAGAAAAATAAAACAAGTTCAATGTTATAAAAACTTTGTTCTTGTAAAATAATTTTCTTAAATTAATTTATTTTTCAAAACCAATATTATCAAAATTGTATTTAGTCCAAAATGAATAAGTGTACTGTAAAAACAACAATTGAACTTTCATTTAAGCTCAAATAAATTATATTTAAAGATACTTTTGATTTGAGAAATAAGAAAACACAAAAAAAATTTTGTTTAAACTTTAAAAATCATATTATTTATTTAGTACCAAAATATAAAATTTAAGAACATATACTAAATAAATCTTTTTCAAAATCTTGATTAAGCTTATTTAGCTTAATGTTTTTTTCATTTCAAAATAAGAATCAATGCAAGACTAACACCAAATAACATGATTCTTTTTTAGACATTTAAAAAAAATGAAATATACACAAACAAAATGAAATAGATGGAGTAATTTATTTGAAATAGTAAAGAAGAGTTTAGATTTGGATAAAATTTTAATTTTAACAAGTTATTCTTCTCTTATATAAAGAAAAGAAAAAAAAATCCTAGCAAAAATTTTTCACCAAAAAATGAAAAGTTAAGATAGGAAAAGGAAAAAAATATATGCACAATAAAATCTATACTTACGCACATGAGCATTTGGCTCAATAAATAATAGCTGTTTCTATTTCTTAAAAAACAGAATTCCAATCATTTTAATATAAAGGAAAAAAAAAATAGGATGCCCATATAATTAATTATTCGTGGCTATAGAATAGGTAATTATTAGAGCATGATTTGAAATGAAAGCTCTGTTTATTTCATAAAAATTAATTTTCAAAAAATAATTTCTATAAATTTTAAGTTTGTTTAACAAAAATTAACTAATTAATGAAAAATAACTTATTGATAATCTTCTTTCAAAAATGATCTTATTCTTTTAAAATAGAAAATATAATTTCTAAAAATTTATATATGAATATAATTATAAAAAATCTTGTGAGTTTAATTCAATTCAAACCAAACTTTAAATATAATTTTTTAAAGTTTAGGCTTAACTTGATTCGATTGCAAATATTTTTACATTAGAAAAAAATTTTCTTTAATTTTAATTGAAAATTTTTAATATTTTAATTTAATTAATTAATTATTTTAATAATATATTAATACAATAAATAATTTTTTATTATTTTTCATAATGAATATTATTTAATATAACAATATTACTATTTTAATATTAAATTTTAAGAAATTAATTATTTCCTAATATTTCAATTTTAGAATATATTATTTTTAATATTTTAATGACAAATGTTTTTATATTACTATTTTCTAATATATAAAAAATAATTTTTTTATGATTTAATACTAAATATTTTCAATATAAAATAAAAAGTATAAATATCTTTAATATTTAATATACATGTTACTGCTTTTAATAATTTATATTAATAAAAATAATATTTTAATAATAAATATTTTCAATATATTAGTGATAAATAATTTTTAAAATTTTAATAATAAATATTTTAAAATTATGTTAATTTTATCTGAAACAGGAACATACTTTTCACAAAACAATCAAATAACAAAATATATTTTTCATTGTGTTGTCCAAACAACAAAAACCTTTACTATTTCAAAAAATCAATAATTTACAAAAAAAAAAAAGTTTTTAAAAATAATTTCTCCAAAAAAAAAACCGAAATAAAATCCTAAAAGCTTCCAATTTTACTTATAATTAAGGAGATGGAAATTTTTTAATTTTACACAAATTTCATGCAAAACAGTCTTCAATTTTTGTGATCCATGACTCCAATCAATCATCAACAAGATTATTCCTCCTCTTCAAGAAGAGAGAAAAAAAAAAAAAAAAGCAGTGGGTAGCACTAACAGCATAAAAGGAAAAGAAAGCAAAAAGAGCAACCGCAATTCCCAATTGCCAATTCCCTTCAAACAGACAGACAGTCAGTCCGTCTCTTCTTTTTCTCATCTCGTTATTGCCAAATTACCATTTCCTTTTCCTACTTTTTCCAACTTTTCTCTTTTTTTCTTTCGTCATCTTGTTTTAAGTTAGTTATTCTTTTTAGATCTTTTAGAATGTTTATTTATTTTTATATTTTTCTTCATTTATTTTTATAAAGACCAAAAAAAGTGCTTATTCCATTCATTTATTCTTTATAAAGCATAATCTTTTAAAATATAAAATATTACTATTAAAGCTTCCATTTGCAACTTTTAATTTATCCACATATATAGCCTTATATATATATATATATATATATATATACCTGATGAGAGAGAAAGAAAAGGCAATGTGAAATCACATGCAAACCACTTCCACATTAACAGGCCAAACAAATTTTCCCTCGCTAACAAGAAAAGCATAAACCCCCTCTTCTCTTAGTTGGTCAACAATAGACCAATCACTTCCTCTTTCTAATATATATAATATAATATAATATATATATATATATATATATAGCCTGATAACTACTGCCTTATTTTGGTAGCAGATACTACTTTACTTTCCCAGAACAATTCTCTTCACCTGATGAAACCCAATTCTCAGCAACAATCTTTGAAATAGTTGTCTGATTTAACCTGTAAGAGAGTGAATAGTATAAGCCTAAACAGGGGAAAAAAATGAGAGCAGGAGTTTGCGCTGTGCAGCAAGCTTTAACAGCTGAGGCTGCAAGCCTGGTGAAGCAAGCACTTGGTCTTGCTAGACGGCGAGGTCATGCTCAAGTCACTCCTCTTCATGTAGCAAGTGCTTTGCTTGCATCCTCTACTGGTCTGCTTCGGAGAGCTTGTCTTCAGTCTCACTCTCATCCTCTCCAATTCAGAGCTCTAGAGCTTTGTTTCAATGTTGCACTTAATCGTCTCCCTGTATCCACTTCTAGCCCTTTATTAGGCCCTCACTCCCATCATCATCCTTCCCTCTCCAATGCCTTGGTTGCAGCCTTTAAGCGTGCCCAAGCTCACCAACGCCGAGGCTCCATTGAGAACCAACAACAACCTATTTTGGCTCTCAAAATAGAGTTAGAACATCTCATAATCTCCATTTTAGATGATCCTAGTGTTAGTAGGGTCATGAGGGAAGCTGGTTTCTCTAGCACCCAAGTTAAAACCAAAGTAGAACAAACTGTTTCCTTGGAGAATTGTTCTCGAAAGGAAATTCTCAAACCCCAAGTTCTTTGTGCTAATGTCTCTCAGGTTGGTTTTGGGTTGTCATTAGGCAAACCAGTAGATCAAGTTGTTAGGAGTGAAGATATAACAAATGTTTTGAACACTGTTGTGAACAAGAGGAGAAACACTGTTATTATAGGAGAATGTGTAGGCAGTTCTGAGAGACTAGTTAGAGGGGTAATGGATAAGTTTGAGAAAGGACATGTCTCTGCGGATTTAAGATATGTTCAATTTATCAGTCTTCCACTTTTTTCACTCGGAAATCTTCCGAAAGATGAAGTGGAGCAGAAGCTTGTAGAGCTTAAATGCCTTGTGAAGAGTTATATGGGTAGAGGGGTTGTCTTATACTTGGGTGATCTCAAATGGATTTCAGAGTTTTGGTCAAGCTATGGTGAGCAAAGAAGAAGCTATTACTGCCCAGTGGAGCACATAGTAATGGAACTTAAAAGATTAGTGTGTGGAATTAGGGAGACGGGAAAATTGTTTCTCATGGGAACTGCAACTTTTCAGACTTACATGAAGTGCAAAACAGGCCATCCTTCTCTTGAGACAATTTGGGAACTTTATCCTCTTACAATTTCAGTTGACAGCAGCTTAAGTCTCAGTCTTAACCTTGACGGGTAAATATTTGTTTTGAAATCAATGATAATTGAAATTGGGATTTGATACTCTTCAGCTTTTACAGTTTAGGCCCATTTTCCCTTTTTTTTTTCCAGGAAAAAAAGTCTTGTTTGTTTTACCTTTCCTTTTCTCCTCTTTACATGTGCCATGTGTGTCACTGATGTTAATCATGTTCTTTTGCCTTTTTCTTTATTTCAGTAACTCTCGACCTCAGTGTAGAACCAAGGAATCTATAGATGGGATTAGTTGGCCACTGTTCGAACCTGGAGTAAATAAAAGCCAGATTTCCTTCACTGATAGATTGCTCAATTTTGACAAGGAAGCTCAAAGCAATGCCATCGTCTCTTCCAGTTCAAGTTTGCCTACATGGCTCCAAAACTACAAGGAAGAAACCGAAAAACACCCCACCCATGATAAGGTATCCTTCTTATGTCATCTACGCTATCCTTGCAGGATTAATCATACTATATATCTGTATAAAAACAAATTGGAAATTTACATTTCTGTTGTGTTCTCTATATCAGGATTCAGTCAATTTCAGGGATCTGTACAAGAAATGGAACTCATTTGACTGTTCATCCGACAAAAAACACTACAACCCTGAGGAAGTTCTTAACATTTCTCCATTATCTTCTTCCGAAGAGCAAAACACGAAGCCTAATCTAAGTTGGCCAGTCATTTTTGAACCTAAAGTGTCACCAAAAGAGCACCAGTTTTGGATATCCGAAAGTACAGATGAAGGTTATGGACTCCCATTGAGAAATGATCCTAAGCCAGACCTCCTCTCAAATCCCAACTCTAGCCCAAATTCAGCTTCTTCAAGTGAGGCAATTGAGGCCGATATCGATGGCCTTAATGAGTTCAAGATTCTTAATGCCGAAAACATGAACATTCTGTGCAATGCATTAGAGAAAAAGGTTCCATGGCAGAAGGAGGTGATTCCCGAAATTGTTAGCACCATCCTTGAATGCAGATCGGGGATGAGAGAGGTTAAAAGCCTGTTAAAGCACAGAGGACCCAAAGAAGAAACTTGGCTATTCTTCTTAGGAGCTGACAATGAAGCCAAGAAGAAGATTGCAAGAGAGTTAGCCAGACTCATTTTCGGTTCTCGAAGCAACTTTGCTTCAATAAGTCTGAGCAATTTGGCATCCATCAGGGCAGATTCGAATGAAGAATCCAACAACAAAAGAAAGAAAGATGAGTCAGGTAGAAGTTATCTTGAGAGATTGGGAGAGGCATTGAATGAGAATCCTCACAGGGTCTTGTTCATGGAAGACCTGGAACAAGTTGATTATAGTTCTCGGAAAAGCATTAAGCAAGCAATTGAAAGCGGAAGGATAGCAGTTTCAGATGGTGAGACAGTTCCTGTTAAGGATGCAATTATCATTTTCAGCTGCGAAAGCTATCAATCAGTGTCAAGAGCTTGTTCTCCCAGGAGAAGGCCAAATACTAGTGAGACAGAAGAGACAAAGGCATCAGATATGGAGCAGAAAAACTCATCTCCATGTCTAGATTTAAACATTGCCATTGAAGATAATAGCAGTGCAGATGAAAATTCATCAGTTACTGGTTACATTGGAATTCTGGAATATGTTGATAAGGATATTATTTTCAGAGTTGAGAGCTAATTGACAGATTTCATAGATGAGGCAAAATTCATTTTCCTTTTCTTTTGTTCCTTTAATTTTTTTTGTCTGATAGATTTGTGGGGAAGGATAGAAAAAAAAAATCAAACTAACATGGTCTACAGTGAAAGGGGTGATTGGAATGACAGATTAAGAGCAGCTACTTATCATTATTGTATAATTATTATGTATCCTTGATCCTCTGTTGATAATATATATAATAGATATCGCTGCACTTTTAATTGTTGTTTTTTAAAATATATTTATTTATTTATTTCTAATTAATTATATCTAAGCACTATGTTCATATACTTGAAACTGTAAATATTATTAATATTGATTTATATTATAATTAATAAATACTGATTAGACAAATGCTACTAGTTTTAACTTAATCCTCGATTAATTTAGGGTTAGCTTTCATGCAAGTAAAGTTCTCGGTATTCAAACATACTACTACAATTATAGGAAATTTTGCTTAGGATTTAAAATGCAATTTTATTTTGCTTTATGATAATAATAATAATAATAATAATAATAATAATAATCTTCGATAACATAAATCTAATTAATCAGTAGGACAACTTAGTAGAATGAAGCTGTTGGAATTATATTATATATCAAAGCGATAAAAAATAATGCATACCTCTGGAAGTAAATTGGACACACATATATGATCTTTGTACAATAATTCCTTTCATTCGTTACTTTCAGCACTCAATTTTTGGATACACGATCTTTCAACAAATTTCAAGCTCTTTTATTTTCGTCATCCGTCATTAAAATATGATGAAATTTCCTACCTCAGCCTCATGTGGACGTTCATGCGAATGAGGACATATGGGAATGAGGAATGTTAGAAAAAATAACTTAGAGAGGATAAAAATAGAAAAGAATTTTAGTTTTGAAGCATAAAAAACACTTTTTTTGAAGTAATTATGCATTTAGAATACAATAAAGCCTTAAACTCTCTAATAAAAAATAATAAAAATAGTTATACTGAAAAATGTATTTATAATGAATGAACAGATATAAATTTTTATTCAAATAGTTATGATCTTTCATATAATCATGATATTTATGAGTAATAATTTATTTATGTTCAAATAGTTATGATAATTTGTCATATAATAATTATTTATGTTCAAACATAATTATTTAAAATATGAATAAAATTAATATAAAAATTAATTTTATTCATCAACAATTAAATATTTTTATCAATGTCGGATGCACCATATTCTAAATTACCAACAATCTCCTACTAGTTTGGAAGTTGGTGCTTAATTTTTAACCTTTCACACAAATAAATATTATGAATACAAGAATATATATTTCGATTTAAACCTTCAATTAGAATATATATCTTAGAATTCTAATGAAATTGATGGTTTTTGTAGATTAAATCTCAACTCCTAATGTTAGAATTAAAGATATAACACACATAAAACTTATTTATTCTTTTGTCAAAGGTTTATAACCACTTTTAGCACTATTATGGTCATGTGCTTATCTTATTCATAAACATTTATAAGAGAGACCCCAATTCTTCTTGTTAAAGCGGCACCACTTCTTGTTTATATAGGCAAAGTTTTCATTATATCACAATTACTTTAGACATTTAAAACTCTATTAAGAGTATAAAACTCATCCTCCTTACGTAATAGATCACATTAGTTTCTAAAATTTAAAATTTGATTGAATTTTACCAGTGCTTAAGACACATAACAATAACTTGTTTTTATCCATTAAACATTGTAATTAGAGGTTACTAATTCAAAGTTGGGTTTTCATTATTGATGTCTAATAGTAAGGATTTAAATCCATTCTACTTGTAGTACTACTAATCAAATATCTTAAAATTCGATTTTCTTTTATGGTAATTACCCTCACTTGAGATTGAATCTCTAATATAATCACTTGAAGCTAATATGTTTAAACTTTTCATTTTGCATATCGATCATTTATATGCTCTAGACATTATTGCCTCATTCTTATCATTTTAAGAAATAGTTAGTTTTGGTTGTGCCTACAACTCTATACTCATAAATTTCAACCATTCTATTTCCATATTTTTATATATCTTTAATATAATTATACTTCTAGTACAATGGGATAAACTCAATGAATAAACCAAATCATTTTAGTTCTTTTAAGATTTTTAAGGACCGTTTTAATGATTTTACTTTAATAAGTGTCTAAACTTATTTAGCTTGTATAATTTGCTCATAAAATTATACTAAAATCTTACAACACTATGGTGGTAATTTTTATTTCTTTTAATTCTTATCACCCCCACTATGTGTAATTATGCATTCTTATATTAAAAATCTCATTCAATTGTCAAGATATCATATATACTTAATTAAGTTGCCATTTCTCCAAATCCACCCTTAGTAAAAAATAACTGGCACATATTTTAATATTTCTATAAAAGTTTCAAAACTTTTATATTTTAACTCAATATAAATGCTTACATCAATAAGCAAATTTTAAATTATAATCATGCTTCTATGGTCTATTTTTACTACTTTTTAGGTCAATTCATAAATACTTATATGAATCTCTTTCATCATAGACATTATTAATAATTTTTATTACCATGAACAAAACCATTTTCATCACCTAAATGAATCAAATAGCATTCCTTTTGCTATTATAAAAGTTTTTTTATTCACAAGATATTTGAATCGCTTATGGCTTCCCAAGTAAATATACTTTAAAATTTTCACTATATAAAATATAGATGATAAATCATTTGTAAAATCAATGAATAAGACCATATACATAATAAAACATTACCATAACATGATCAAGATTATGGCATCAATTTTTGCTTATGGCTATTCTAAGCCAACCATAATAATGCATATCATACCTACAAATTATATAGATTTGGTTATAAAAGTTATTTCATTAATAGTGATGGCTTTTAGTGAAAACCAACTATTTCAAATGTTATAATGAGTTTCTAGTGCATATATTAATTGCCCAATGACCAATTTCAAGTTTATGACTATTGAAACCTCTAAACTTGATATCAAAATTTTATGAGAACTTTATTTCTTCACCATTGTGTAGCGTATATATCTCTGCTATTTATCACTTTTAATTGGTCACAATATTTTCGGATATATAATAAATTCAAACTTTACTCATAAGACCAATATGCCTATATATAATGAAAATCCATTGTATATTTAAGTCTAATCTCAAATACTTTCACAATCATTTTATGATCAATATGTTCATATTTAGATCACCATATCAACGTAAATCATGAAACATGAATTCAAAGAATCATTTTCATAAAATAGTATTAGCAATAATTATAATATGAGTTTTACTCATATTTCATGCAAAAACTTGTAATGAATTTGCATTGATTAAATCATTGATTTGCTAACTCCAAGGCTTACGGCTTTCATAAACCAATATTATTATCTAAGCCCATATGTTAATATGGTGTATAACTAGCCACATTTTTGTCATTGTTATGAAACTATTGAAAACCTCAAAAACTTATTCACTTTTTATTTTAACAGCCTACAAAAAATCATTTTTTTAGGTACAAGAAGCAAAAATATCTTTATTATTTTTAACTAATAATGTATTAATTAGCTGATGGTGTTCTATCTCCATAGTCCATATCTTTCTTATATATATACAAAAGAATATTCCATCTCATTCAGTTTATTTTCGTAATATATGGCAAACTGTACCAATGTTCTCCATGCCATCAAAAAATGAAATTAAACACATCTATGTATTGTTGCCTTTGAAACATTGAATCTGCGTGTTTCTTTTTAATTTACAAACATGGCTAATTAGACATTGATGAGCATCTTTCAAAATGCTAGTAACTCACAAATGTTTCAATATTTTTAATGACATGCATTTTCTTTTAATCAATATTTCATATGCAAAAAGCAACAATGCTTTTATGCAACCATTGATTAACTCTTGATGGCTATTTATAATTTTCACTTTGTGATTGTTTATAATAAAATTTTATTTTATAAAATCACTTCTAATATAATACACCTAGTAGGTAAAATACATGTCACACAGCCCATGTTTATCATAAAAATAATCATTTAGTTTATTATATAACCAAGACATGATAATTAAACAATCTGTCATTCTATTAGAACCCAATTTAATTCGTTACTTGAAAACAAGTAATAATTTTTTTTTGTCATAGATCAATTCATGTATTTCTCGTTTATGTTTTCAGGCTATTTTTCATTCCAACCTTTATAAGCATTGATTTTTCAAATAAATATATTACAATTCATTAAACCCAATTACAGAGCCAATTTGAGTATATGCATAAACTTATGCAATGTAATCAATATTTTGCATATTGTGTTTTGACTTTACACACTAATGAAATTAATTATTAACGTGTTTATCTAATTTAGTCAATCTTCTTGCAAGCAATTATGTAAAAAAAAAAAAAACATACTTCTAATAAAGATCTTTATGAAAATTAACATTTTGGTCCATGAAAACATTAATCATTTGACACCTTAAGCCTCCTCTAATATTGATATCTAAATCATTTCAAATTCTTTTCTTTGTATCTTTCTCATGCAAAATATAAATTTCTCATAATTGTCTTTAAATTGTTAGAAAAAATAAATAAATGAAGAGAAAAATAAAAAAGAATTTTAGCTTTGATGTGTAAAAAACACTTTTTTAAAAGTAATTATGTCTTTAGGATACAACAAAACCTCAAATTCTTTAATCAAAAATAGTGAAAATAGTTATATTGAAAATTTTATTTATAATGAATGAATAGATATAAATTTTTATTTAAATGATTATGACATTTCGTATAATCATGACTTTTATGAGTAGTAATCTATTTATATTCAAATAATTATGATTATTTATCATATGATAATTGTTTTTATTTAAACATAATTATTTAAAATATGAATAAAATTAATACAACAATTAATTGTATTTATTAATAATTAAATCTTTCTATCCAATAT